ATTTTAGTGTATAGCTACCAGAAAATATAATTTTAGTAAACCATATTGTACTTTTTTTGAATGGTTAATATGTCAAATGAGTTATCAAAAGTTTTTAATAGAAGTTACATTTATAACATGAATTTAAAATTTTACCATTTAAAATACAACTGTTATTAAACTAATGTACTTGTGCAAATCTAAAAAAAAAAGCAAGCAAGCAGGCAAGCAATGCAGCAGGTCCTGATTTACTGACAACTCGTACTTGTCCTCGAATGTTCTGTAAATGTCCCGCCTCCCCCTTGATGATTGAACCAATCACCTGCTCTCAGCAGATTCTTCATCACACCCACTTTCACTTGCTGCGCCGTGCAGCTTTTCAATCACGGAAAAGGCTCCCAGCATTTTCTTGAATGAAAAGACGACTAAATAAGAACCCCACGCACCTGTTCTGACTTAACTTACAAATCTAACTTACAGACTCACTTAGGAGCGGTTTGTAACCCAGGGACTGCCTGTATTGTGTCTCAGGCACTTGAAAGTTTCCCATCTCGCCTTGCAGAAAGGCCCTGGGTTGTCAGAAAAGCGGGAGGAAACAGGACCACGAGGAGGGCTGGGGAGGGGTGGAGGGAGGCCCTCGTTTTTTCTCCCGCTTTGATTGTGTTCTTCCTTTCTTTGTCGATGACCCCTTCCCCTCCTCCCCCTGCCCCCAGCTTCCTTTTTGTTTTTCTTTCTCTCTGTTTCTGGCTATGTGCTATAAAAATAAGATTCTGGCACATGTGGTTAGATTCCCACCATGGGGACTCAGATGGAATTTCAACTCACTCAACATCATTCAACTCTAAATGAGAAAATTCTCATTGAATAGAATAGGGTGGAATGGGGTTTCGTGTTCTCTCCCTCCAGGGACCCTCCCCCCAATTTGGCAACAGGAAACTGAATTAGAGTGGGGTTAGTTCTAGGAAGTGGATTTTGAGTGGAGCTGCATGCCTCATTCAAGCCTTATAGACAATGCCTTGGTTCCCTGTGTTAATGTGAAATCGGAAGGTAGCAGATAACTGAATAACTACCTCCCCCCACCCCCCACCCCCACCGTGTGCCAGAATCTCATTGCAATTGTTACCTGTGTATCCTAATCATCCTTCTACTAAGAAAACCATTACGGTGGATTGACAGCTACTCATTTTATCTTTCTGTTTGGCACCATTGACCAACGCAGCAAGGCCATATGCTGCCATGTAGGACACTAGGAGCCTGGAGTCCTCGGTGTTAGTCTTGTGTGCCCCCCACACCCTGTCCCAAGGTCCTGACACCAATGGGCAAGGCATGCTGTGCCCTAGGAGCTCAGGCCCTCCGTTCCTTTACTGTGAATTGGGCAAGACAGCACCAGCCTTCTGGTGATGCGTGGTGCAGGCAGGGGTGAGTGGGGAGAGCGGTAAAGTGTACCTGTAGGTGTGTGTGTGTGTGTGTGTGTGTGTGTTTCACAAGCAGGGACAAGGCCTTCTCTCTTGGTCTCCAAATTTCCTAGGGATGAACTAAGGCTATTCCTGCCAATTACGGTTTCTAACAATGGGCTCCCTTGTGAGGATGGTACAGGACTAGGCAGTGTACCCTTCTTTGTGCAGAGGGGACCGAGTGGGACTGAGTCAGAACCCCCTTGATGGCATCTAACAACAAAATTTCCCATGCCCTTTCCCCAGTGGCTCAACCAGCCATAGCCAAGCATGCAGGCCTCCTGTCATGGCCACTGGCAATCACCCAGAGGCCCGCTCACACACGTCTCTGTCTTGCTCTTGCTGGCTCCTCCTTATGCCACCCGGCGTCACCTTTGGCTCTGCAGACGTGGCTTCCTTACTGGTCTGGCACCCAGCTCTCCACTGCCACTGATTTCAGCTTGGTGGGGCCTCGAACCTGCTGGAGAAACGTGCGTGTTCTGTGGGTTCCCTCAGCTCAATTGGGCATTGTGCCTTTCCATTGCTCCTCAAGCCCCCAGGAACCCAGAGTTGGCCACACAGGCCCCCTAGAAAGGACTGTGTGCTCCAGTCCAAGAACGGTGGTCTATTGAATTGAATTAGCCACGTGTCCTGATGGTGGCTAGAACGCTGCCTGAGGGGCAAGCCCTCACTGAGCCCTCTTCTTCAGGCACATCTGCCCCCGGTTCTCTCATCACCCTCACAGCCACCGGGGCGTCCAGGTCACCTTAGTGTCGGCACTCACTTTTCATGCGATCTGGAGGAGTGAGAGCTCTTTCCAACGCTCCCGTTTCCTTCCCATCCCTGTGCCACCTGGCCCGGGCAACTACCTCCCCGGGGGAGTCTCCCTCCACCTGGCACGGAGATCTTCAGCGGCTGGTTTTGGGCCATGGTGCTAGCTCATCCTTGGGAGGAAGGCTGGACCTAGATTGCTTTTCTCCTGGCTTCGAGGCCCTGGCTCAGTGCTGACATGCAGCATGTGCTCAGACCAAGTCTGCACAATACAGGAATCGTGGCGTGCTTGCTCTTAGCACGATGGCTGGCATCTGGGGCCCTTAGTAGCTCTTACGGGGTCCTGGTGACACAGTGCTTCAGTGCTGTGCTACCGGCCAAAGGTGTGGGATTGGAGCCCACCAGCTGCTCCTCTGGAGCAAGATAGAGTGGTCGGTGAAATGACAGCCCTGGAAGCCCTGTGGGACAGCCCTGCTCTGTTGTCGAGGGTCACTAGGACGTCTGTGTGAAATGACCAACCCGGTGAACGGGACGGTGGCCTCACCTCCTGGCCAGATCTTTCAAGCTTCTGTCAATTTTCTCCTCTTCTGACTCCCCACGCAAGCAGCAAAGCGGTCCTCGCTGTTGATGCAAGGCGTGGTCAAGTTGTTTCTGACCCGCAGTGGCCCTCGTGCAGCAGGAGGGGGCGTCGTCGTCACCGTCGTTGCCACGTCTGAGCCCATCGTGGCAGCCACGGGGCCAACCCATCTCTTTGAGGGTCTTCCTGTTCGTTTCGACTCTGCTGTGTCCAGCAGGTTGCTGTTCTCTAAGGACTGGGTCCTCTATGTGTGAGATGAAGTCTTGCCGTCCTTGCTTCTAAAGAGCATCCTGGCTGGACTTCGTCCAAGACCGATTCATTCATTCCCTGGCGGTCCGTGGCATCGGCAATATTCTTTGACAACATTCACATTCATCACATTCACGTGCATCCACTCATCTCTGGTCTTCCTCATTCATTGTCCAGCTTCCACACATGGATGAGGTGGTTGCCAGCATGAAAGACGGACTTAGGGACCTGTTTGCTGGTATACACTGCTATGGTCCAATTTAAATCTGGTTACAACCCCCTGAAGAGTCCCTGTTGGTGCAAATGGTTAACACACTAGGCTGCTGTGTTAGCCTGGGTTGACTAGAAGAACAAATCTAGGGACACTCATATATATATAAGAGAGAGCTTTATATCAAAGAACAATTGTATATTAAGAACACAGCCCAGCACAGTCCAGATCAAGCCCCTAAGTCCAATATTAGCCCCAAAGTCCATTATTAGTCCATAAAGCCCTCTCCAGCCTCCACACACAATGATGCAGAATGTAGGAAGATCACAGGCCAGTGGGTACAAAGTCTTGTAGATCCACTGGCAGTGGGTGGATGCATCTCCAGGGTTCTGGCTGCCCTCAGTGTGCCTCAAGGTGGCTCTTCAACAGGAAGGTGAAGCAGAGAGTGTGCGGCCTCCTCCAGGGAGAAAGAGAGGAAGTTCCCAGAATCCTCATGAGAAGGCCACGCCCACAAGGAGGCACCCTCAGGCTGTGTTGACATGAAATTATGTAACTACCACAGCTGCTAACCAAAAGAAGAGGGGAGGTGGGTTCCAGCCCACCCAGAGGTGCCTTGGAAGAAAAGTCTGGTGATCTACTTTAGAAAAATGAGCTATTGGACCATAACACAATTTTATCTGACACACATCCCCAAACCCCAAACTCACTGGCACTGAGCCCCTTCTGACTCACAGGGACCCTGTAGGACAGAGGACAGCGGCCCCTGTGGGTTTCCGAGTCTGTAACACTGTACGGGAGCAGAAGGCCTCCCCTTCTACAACACGGTTGGTGGTTTCTAACTGCAGGCCACTCGGTCTCCCACTGTGCCATCAGGGCCGCTCGGGACAATTGGTTTATGAAGTAGGCACTGCCACTCTTCAGGGGCCAGTGAAGCTCGGACAAATTCAATAATTTTTCGGGTCATATGACCAGATGCCGTGGCAGGATGTGACCCTCGGCCACTTGGCTGTAGAACCAGACTGTAAGCCCTTGCTCCTTCCACCAGTTACTGCAGGGAGAAGCGGGACAGCTTGGCCACCTGTGAAGTACAGTGAACCCTCGCCACTTCGCGCTTCGACTTCCGTGGCTTCACTCTATCGCGGTTTTTGCGTAACAGCGCATGCTCTGTCATTACTGCCACTGATTGGCTCATACTGTACACGCTTGATGCCATAAATAATATAACAAATAATAAATGATCATTGTAACGTCCAAAATGTTTTACTGTATTTTCGCTTTTTCGTTTAATAAATTGGGTAATACGAGTGTAATGGTGACTAAAGGGTGTTTTTTCATGTCCTCTATGCTCTAACTACGAAAATATTTGATTTACAAATAAGGATCCTACTTCGCGGAATTTCGTTTATCACGGTAGGGTCTAGAACCGATTAACCGCGATAAACGAGGGTTCACTGTATAAGAAAACTCAGTCCCTCTGACTGGAGCCCCAAGGACCAGGGTCAAGGTTAAGGGGTTGTTCCTGGGGCCCTCCCAAGCATTGACACCCAAATCATGGACCAGATCATGACTTAAGCCTTTGGAATGAATGAGTGAATGAATACACACAAATGATACTTCATAGCTACGTTGATAGAAAGATGAAGATTTCCCTCTTTTGATTGCGAAATGAGCAGTGTGTTTACTTAGGACTACTATGTAAGCGGGCCCTGCCCAAAGCCTACTCACAGGGCACCCGAGGCGCTGTGGCTCTGGTCCGGCTAACCAGCTTCTGTCTCTGCAGGTCCCGCAGCGGATGGTGGTGGCCGAGGGCGCCCCAGAGGACGGCGGTGGCGCCCCAGGCGTGTGGGGCTCCTGGGGACCCTGGTCAGCCTGCTCTCGAAGCTGCAGCGGCGGCGTGATGGAGCAGACGCGACCCTGCCTGCCTGGCTCTTACCGCGCGCAAGGCCAGCCGCGGCCCGTTGTCCCCGCGCGCGCCTTCGCCGGCCATGTCGTGTCTGCCTTGCGCACGTCTGTGCCACTGCATCGCAGCCGCGAGGAGCCCCATCCCCTCGCTGGTGCCAACACAGACCGCCAGGGCCCCGCCCTGTTGCGTGGCAGCAGGCACCCTCAGCCGGGGGGCCGTCAACCCACAGCCGAAAGAAGGTATGCCAACTCCCTGACCCCGATCGCCTGGTCACTGGCCCCCATTCCTGTCCTTGTTCAAGATGCATGGCCCCTGCTTTGCACCACAGACTGCGTGGCCAATGTGTTGTTTCTGCAGGGTGGGGAGAAGCGCTTGGCTGCACACATCTCCTTTCATCTTGTGATTTATTTTGCACCCATTTAAAGGGCTGAGGCCACTCTTACCCTACTCTGCTTCTGAAAAACTTTCAGAGCCGAGCTAATTCCGAGGAAGCCCTTAGGCATCTTTAAAGAGATCCGAAAGCTCTGGGGTGCAAGGCTACAGAAGGCCTGCATTCCTGTTTTTCCCGATGCAGGGGGGCAAAGATAGATCCTGGGTCTCCACGCATGCACGCATGCACCCACCCATTCACTCACTCACAGGGCCCCCTAGGGCAGGGGAGAACTGCTTCTGTGGATTTCTCAGACTGTCTTGACAAGTAGAAAGCTCAGTTTCTCTCCCTCGGACATCCTGGTGGTTTCGAACTGCTGACCTTGTGATTAGCAGCCCAGTGCATAACCACCATGCAACCAGGACCCCTGTCCTTGGCCTTCTCACTTTCGGTGCCATGGAGTCACTGCTGACCCACACCAACCTCCTATGGGCTTCTGAGATGGTAACTGTTCATGGGAGTAGAAAGCCCAGTCTTTCTCCCATGGAGAGCCTGTTGGTTTCAAACCGCTGACCTTGCAGTTAGCAGCTGAAAGCAGAAACACTCTGACACCAGGACCTCAATCCTTGGCTTTGGGTTGCGTGAATTTGAGCTGATGTTGTTAGGGTCTATCTAGTCGGTTCCAACTCATGGAGCCCCCGTGTACACCGGAATGAAGCGCTCCCTGGTCCTGTGCCATCCTGACAGTGAATTGTTCTTAGGTTTGATACTATTGCTGTGTCAGTCCGTCTGTGGAGGGTCTTCCTCTTTGACACTGGCCTGCTCCTTCTTAAGCCCAGTGTCCTTTTCCAGGGACTGGGCTCTCCCGACAGTGCCCTAAGTATATGAGAGGAAGTCTCACCATCCTGGCCTCTAAAGAGCACTCCGGCTGTACTTCTGCCAAGACAGATTTGAGTTAAGGATGCTAGAAAAGAGACTGTGACCCTTCAGACTTGGAACTGACCCCCCCAGTCCCTCCCCCAAGTCCTCATCCCTCTACTACGGGCTCCGTTGGCAGCTAAACAATAGACACGTCTATAAGGTGCACAGCAAGCGCGCCTTAGATTAGAATAACCCAGCATTTGCGATCACAGGGCAGCGGTCACCCAAGGACAGAGTCCAGAAGGGTTAGGAAAGAAGGAAGAATGGACACAGGAAACAAGGGAGGAAGTGGGATAGGTGATGGTCCATTGTGGGGATGGGCCTTCCTTCAATTCACAACAGAAAGTTATAAAGGAAAAAAGAAACGTGCCTGATCTAAAGTCTTACCTTACAGCTTTGGACAAGTCCCTGTTGAATCTCTAGAGTCAAAGATGCCCAGAGACTTAGGTCTCAGGAGTCTATGAATTTTCTAAGTGGTTTCTTCTATGTAGTCTGAGGGAGCACACTGCTTTCAGCATTTAGATATATAAAGTCTCGTATGACCATCCCCACATAAATATGCTAGAGTAAGGGGTGCGAATTTATAATAATTACTTTAAAAGGCAGTTTCCACCAACTCAATTCTGACCCATACCTTATTTTTAGAAGTAGATTGCCAGACCTTTCTTCTGAGGTTCCTCTATATGGATTTGAACCTCCAACCTTTCAAATAGCAGCCAACTTAGGTCGATTGATTGATGGAACCCTTGTGGTGCAACAGTTAAGGATGCCAGCCTGCTAACCAAAAGGTTGGCTCTTTGGATTATTTCAGGTCAGAAAAGAGACCCCCAAATGTAAGTGTAATTTATAGAGATGCATTTGTTGAGCCTCCAACAAGACAAAGACAAATCATCCAGGTGAAGGAGCTCACCACCATGGGGTCTTCATGGTGTCTAAGAATTCACAGAAACTCGGCCACTTTAATAGACGATGGAGAAGAAAGCAAATGGTCACAAAACCATGATTGTCAGCAGGCCAGTCCATCAAAGTTACAGACAACTACGGAAGCAGGGAAGGGACCATAATTGAACACCAATACTACTGCAGATAGAAACCTCATAGGATTGAGTCAGGGCCCTCCAGCTGAAACAGCAGAGTATGGCTCATGACCATGCAGACCCCAGGTTCCTAAATCCCATCCAGGGTTAGCTGCCCCTCCCTGGGCTGGCCAGGGAGCAGTGGCAATCTATGTACTTTCAAACACATTCTGCCCGAGGGCAAAGCTTTTCACATTGCTCAACAATAGTCAGAAAGATTTCAATGGAGGCAATGCATACAGGGCTCTCAGGGCAAATAGTAGCCTGTCCCTAAACCTAGTGCCCAGACTTTACGCTCTAACACAGAATTCACTCAGCGGCTCTGCGTGAGAAAGACCTGGTGATCTGCTTCCATGAAGATTGTAGCCTAGAAAACCCTATGAGCCGTTCTGGTCTGCCACACAAGACTCGTTAGGATTTGGGATTATACTGGATGGAATCTAGCAACAACGAAAAGGCTCCATAGGCAAAAGACATATATAGAGGTCTAAATACAGGCATGTACATATGTAAATACATTTCTATATAATGATGGGGAAATAGATCTATGTACATGTATTTATTTGTTAAGTATTAAGGCAGCAGACAGACATTGGGCCTCCACTCAAGTACTCCCTCAACGTAAGAACACTTTGTTCTAATAACCTGGTATTCTGTGATGCTCACCTTCCCTGACACGATTGCTGAAGACAAAATGGGTGCATAAGCAAATGTGGTGAAGAAAGCTGATGGTGTCCGGCTATCAAAAGATATAACGTCTAGGGTCTTAAAGGCTTGAAGATAAACAAGCGGCCATCTAGCTGAGATGCAACAAAGGCCACAAGGAAGAAGCACACCAGCCTGTGCGATCATGAAGTGTTGATGGGATCAGGTATCAGGCATAAAGGACCCAAAGCAAAAAATCATATCAAAGTGAATGAGGGGAAGGATGGAGTGGAGACCCAGGGCCCATCTGTGGACAATTGGACATCCCCTTACAGAGGAGTCACAAGGAAGAGACGAACCAGTCAGGGTGCAGTATAACACCAACAAAACAGACAATTTTCCTCTAGTTCTTCAATGCTTCCTCCACCCACTACATGACGCCAATTTTACCTTGCAGCTCTTGCTGGATCAGAGCAGGTACACTGGTACAGATAAGAACGTGCAACACAAGGAATCCAGGACCGATAAACCTCTCAGGACCAATAATGAGATTAGTGATACCAGGAGGATAAGGGGAAGATGGGGTAGAAAGGGGGAATCAATCACAATGATTTATATATAACCCCCTCCCAGAGGTACGGACAACAGAGAAGTAAGTGAAGGGAGACAGCGGTCGGTGTAAGACATGAAAAAAATAGTGATTTATAAATTATTAAGAGATCATGAGGGAGGGAGGGGGAAGGGCGGAAAAATGAGCTGATCCCAAGGGCTCAAGTAGAAAGAAAATGTTTTGAGAATGATGATGGCAACATAGGTTCACATGTGCTCGACACAGTGGATGGATGGATTGTGAATAGAGCTGTACGAGCCCCCAGTAAAATGAAAAAAGAGCAAAGTACTCCATCGTCGGCATTGTTCGGGATCACTTTTCATGGACGGCTCAGTGACATAAACCGAACCCACTGCTAGCAAGTCCATTCTGACTCGCAGCGACCCCGTAAACAGGGCAGAACGGCCCCTTTGGGTTTCTGAGACTATTACTATTTACAGGAGTAGAAAGCCTCCTCTTTCTCCCACAAAGCTACTGGCGGTTTCCAACTGCTGACCTTGCGGTGAGCAGCCTAACAGCAGAACCACTATCAATGGCACCACGTCACCTATGCTTAACTGCAAGGGCAGCAGTTCGGAAACACTAACCGCTCTGCAGGAGGAAGAAGAGGTCTCTCCTCCCTTAAAAAGTTACAGTCTTGATACTGATGTCGACGTGCCATATACTTCAGTGGTTCAATCGCTTTTAAAAGAGTTGTATCTGCATCATCACAGTCAGTTCAATGCTCCCTCCCCCGTCCTGGATGCATTGCTTCCCAAATCCCCCCGTCCTCCCCACCCCATGCCCTTCCACATCCCTGATAAATCAGGGTGTCAGTGTTTGTCTCTAAGCATCCACTCCTTCTGTGATGTCCACATATTCCGGGATGTGTAGCTAGAATATCAAGAAAACCCCTGACAAAAGAAAAGAAGCCAAGCTTGATCAGTGCCCACCATGGGTGAAAGAGAAAGGGTTTTTGCTTAAGGGGCACTGAGTTTACGTTAAGGGTGGTGGAATAATTTTCAAAAGGATAGCAATAATGGCCGCACCTCATAAAGCATATAATCAATGGCATTGAATTCTACATGTAGAAGTTGAGATGGAAATTTTTTTGCGTATATTTTTTCCACGATTCAAAAACTTACATGAATAACAGTGAGTCCAAGAAAGAAGCATATGTTCCAGCATCGGGGGTTGTGACAGTTGTACAATTCTTCTAGACATGATTTAATAATTGTATGTCATGTGGATGAAGTGGTAATAAAACTGTTAAAAATACATTTAAAAAAGAATATACACACTGTTAATTTTTTTTTAAGGTTTCGATCTTAGAAACCCACAGGGGCAAGTCTACCCTGTCCGGTAGGTGG